AAGATTACTAAATCGGGAATTAGAAAAGCTGCAGAGCTACCAAATGTTGGGAAAATATTCCTCGTCCAAAAACAATCTAAAGTTTTCAAATTCAGCTTCCAGGCGCGTATGGTTCTCATGTAAGAGCCTTAAATTTTTGACAGGAAAATTTCTCATTGAGCAGCTGGACCTTTTCCAAAAACGACTGCTAAGCGGAAATTGTTTATTTTCGTTTATGCAAAATTTGCGATGTTTTTCGGTATTGAGCGCACAAGGTAGGTGTGAAGAAACAACTGTTCATGCAGTTAACCTAATTAGTTCAAGTTTGGTGCAGAAACGCATGATCGCACCGGCTCACCTGATGCGTTCCAAGCCTGGGTTATTTGATTAATTTCTTTGCCGCATCGCAGTCTGTCACTCACTGCATTACGACCGGAGTGGCAAGTTTCGAATACAAGTTCTGTAATCACGGTAAGCGCTAGTAGTTGTGCGGTGTGGTGTTCCTGAAATGCGCTGAGAAGCGGGCGCAGTCATGGCAGGCCTGTGTATCTTAATTTGTATGCCTTCTGCAACCACAGCGCTTCCTTCTGAAACTGTTTCAAAAAGCATACGTTGCAGTGCTGTCTTCTCTGTTTCAGGTTCAGATATCACTGCTGGAGCAGATGCTGGAGAAGGAAAAACATAGCGACCAGCAATAGCAATGGCAAATTTCGATAACGGTTGTGATTACGCATGCATGAATGATGTCACAGTTACAACACCTTTTTTTGTTGAATATCGTTCCTTCACGTCGTTGTCTTCTCTTGCCTCGCCGCTCTCGCGAAAACATTTCGGCTCGCTCGACGAGGGATGTGCTCAAAATTCTTGTTTTTTTCCAGCGCTGATTGCTTATCTCGAGCCGACAGCCATTGCCACACTTGTGCTGTTCATCGCATGCATACAGCTCGTTCGCTTGGATGGCCGGTGTTCGTATTACACAGAAAGGGAGAGCGAGATTGAATGGAGCGATAAAAAAAATCGTCGCTTCTCGAGGCTTTCATTTTGCAGCGCGATTTCCCCCCAGAACAAAGCAAATCAGTGCTCAGAAGCTCTTGGTTTCGAGAAATCAGTTTTGTGAGAAACATAGCATAGCCTCTCTGCGCAGTGATACCTACAATGGATGTCGGGCTTACCCATGGAGATCGCGCAGTTCCAGATTCAACGCTGTAATGACGCAGACATGACGGAGTGCGCTTCTTGAACTTCGGTACAATTCGCAGCTGCAACATCTGTCTTCCCCCCACCCGCCCCGCTGATTGATTAATGCGACAGATTTTTGTTCTGAGCATGTTAGGAATTCAAATCGTCCTAGCCATTCTGGTGTGCCTTGTACAGTGAAGCTCCCGCCCGCTCTTCTAGCCGGCGCTTGAACTGCCTGAGGGTATAGCTGACCTGGATAACGCTGTGGCTAGTTCATCTTCTCGGAGCTGAGTGCGTAGATTGCGGGTGTAGCTGTGATCCCATGATTCTGGACACTGAACTCATTGTTTATGCCAGAAGAACGGTGTTAGTAATACTGCGATTTCTTGTTTGCTGGGTGCGTTTTGAATCTGGACTTCCATTTTTACTTGAGCCTGCGCAGTGGTGCTACTGGCAACTTCCTCGTTCTGCTTGATTTTGAGCTTGCCACCACCCCTGTCCCCCCTCCATCCACCTGACCTTTCTCGGCGTGTGGGAGGTCCTTTTCATTCTCACTTCTGGCTTTTTAATGTTTGAGTATTCGAAAATTTTCAAGCGGTATTTGAATTTCTCGAAAATTTCAAACTGACTCGGGGATGTCGGTCTGACCTTCTTGCTCTCTCTGTTGAAGAATCTGTGATTGAACTAAACCTTGTGCTGATCTCGACCGTAGGGACCTCTGACCTTGCTCAGAAATGTCAGGCGAAGATGGAGCGCTGATTTCGGCCAAGGCCATGGTCTCTTTCCTCCGTTATTTATCGTTTTTGTAATAATCTCCGCAGATGCATCTGTTCTTTACGATTTTTGTTTCTGTGCTTTCATAGTCTTTTCACTTTCAAGTTCTCACTCTGTTATGTTATATTGTAAATTTGCTTTGTAAAGTTCGAAACATACAGAGGAAGCTGGAAACGGGTGTTGCCCATTAATGAATGGTATGTGGACACTGCCCGGACTGCCCTGGAGGGGATAGCTCTTTCTGCCTCGTCTTGCTGGAGAGGTGGCCGTATTTCGGCGCCGAAGGGCGTTGCTGTGGAGCTGTCTTGATTGCGGTTTATTAGCTTCGAAGGTCATTTCCGCATAACTGCGCCAGTTCTGTCCAAATAATAGTGCTCTTGGAGTGGCGTTTCTGCGGTGTGTCGGCGCGGCAGCGAAGTGTGCATGTTTTTTGGTTTTGCCCAGTGTTCACTGTTTTATAAATTCGAGCAGTTTTCTTGTCACATAAAGCCTTGCAATTTCCTCGAGTTATCTCTTACTGTTGGCTTATCCCACAGCTTGCTTGTTTGCCGGTCTCCGAGGGCTGCATTCGCTCAGGCGCACTCGTGATTAGACCTTCGGCACCCGGGCGGCCGCCGATCTGGTGCTGCTGCTGCTGCTGCTGCGGCCACAGTGAGGATGCACTGGGTGAAGGCGCGGTTCCGCTGGGATGTATTTTCATTCCGGAAAATTCATTTTGCGGTAGCGCTGTCAGGTGCGAACGGTCGTGGGTGTTCAGCATTTTACCGGAGCAGTGGGGCACGGTCAGGCTACTGCGGGGTAACTTCGAACTGTCGAGTGCCGCACGGTCTGTATCGCCCGAGCTGCTTCTCCAGCCGCATAAGTCGGTTGTCGTTGCCACGCGTTCCTGAGTGCGTCTGGCTTCTCCGTTCTCTTCCGTTTGTCCCGTCCGGCTTCTTTCTACAGCGCGATTCGTCGGGAGCGCCTAGGTCTGTGCTTGATGTGGATGTAGCAGAAGGACCAGCCATGGGAGTTGAGGCTTTGGGATAAGTACATGAAGCGAGCGGTTTGTATCACTTCACTGGTCCATGGGAGGAGGGAGGAGTGGTTTGGGGTATTGAACTGGTTCCCGGTGGGGTAGCGGTAATGAATGAGTTAGAAGTTTAGGTAAATCCGGATGAGTAGCAGTGCGCAGGACGATGGCTCGAATGCGGCAGGTTGGCCGAATAAAAAAGAAGACTACGAGTTACAGGATGCTATTGGGATCGGTGCAACAGCTACTGTCTATAAGGTTTGCATGATTTTTTTTATCGGCGAGGGCATCGCTTCCCTCCCTCATCCCCTTGAACGCCAGACTGTTCAGGCTTTTTCGGTGTCCCAGGGTACGTGATTCCTTTCATTAGTAGTTGCTGAATTCTTTATTTTTAACTTCAACTGTTTTTTTTTTCATGTTAAGAAGTTAATATGCATCTTTTTTTTCGACATATATGTAATACTGTGAAAAGCGGGGC